GGAGTCTTTTGGGTTTTCCACATAAAGTATCATATCATCTGCAAAGAGTGAGCATTTGACTTCTTCTTTGCCGATTCAGATGCCTTTTATTTCTTTTTGTTGCTGTGACAGGATCCTAAGAGTAAAGTTGGAAAGGTGATAAAACACAGATATTTCCTAAGGAAGTTTTAACTTCCTGGTCTTAAATGGCAATAGGTTGGGAAAACTTCACAACTGATGCAATTAATTAAATCTTGAGAGTATCTTGTCCTGTGACTTTGTTGGGTATGGGATTTGATATTACCCTACTTTAAAGCTAAGAAGTTACCTTGTTACTGTTTCATGTATGTTGGAAGACATGAGACTCTGGAGTCAGGGACACAGGACAGCATTACTCACAGCACAGTAAGCAGCCTGAGCATCAACATATTTACATTGGTTCCTCTTGCTCTCAAGTTCCAAAAGAGCCCAGGTGACACCTGCTAATGCGGTGAGTTGTGTTATAGGAGAGAAACACCAAGCTTGAGGACTTCACTGCTTTTATAGCAAGCAGTAAGCAAGCCTGCTCTTTATCCCAGTAGGAGACACTTCCTCATTACTCACAGTTGCTTGCTTCAAACACAACTCTGAGAAATGGGCCAGAGCCCCACACCCTTAGCATAGTCAGCAAGATGCTAGGAGCAAGAGAAGCCCATTGATGACTGTCTTCCAACGGGCTTTATGTATTAGGTTGAGTCATGTGAAACTGCTGTTTTCATACGTCAAAAAAGTCCAAGTACTGGTGATTTTACATGGTTCAACATAATTTCTCAGTGTTAATAAAGGTGCCTCCATGGTGCCTTTTTAAAAATTTTTTAGAAAGTTTGAATATACTGCATTTTCTGTTACTATTTCTTTCCTTCCACCAAACTCTGTTGGTGTGTGTGTGTTTTTTTTTTCCCATAAATGTTCCTACAAAGGATCTAAATCTTCTTGACTTATAGGTAAATTTAGAGTTTAAAATGATGCAAAATGATAAATTCAGGTGGTATCCAAGCCTCTAACTCCTATTTTTTCTACATCAGTGTCAAAATGAGTTATATTTTTGTTTCCACTATGTATGACCAAGCTCCTGTTCCCCTTCTTTTTCTTATGCAGTTTAACCATCTTCTGATATGTTACTAAAAATATATTTTTCATATCACCCCAGTATTATTCTTATCTCATACGTATAATTTGAATCTGGCCTACATGTATCATGACACTAAGAGGAGTCCACTGCCCAAATATATAAAATTACAATACTAACTATAAAGGAGTTAAAAAATTAAAATGAATCATTATTAATCTCTGTTACACTATGAA